TGGTGGCTCAAAGGCTCCCCCTGAGCCTGCAGGGAAAGGGCCCCAGGGTGCTGGTGGCAGCGCGGTGGGTGGGTTTGAGGGGTGGCTGCGGCAGGGTTACCGAACAAGGTGCAGAACATCCCCCCGAGGACGGGGTCGGGCAGGGAGGCGAAGAGCGCCGTGAACTTCCCGATGGTGCCCAGCAGGAGCATGATCCCAGCCCCGTACTGGATCACCCTCCTGCTCCCCACCTGCACGGAAACGGGCAGCGGGTGACGGTGCCCATGTGCCCCGGCCGAGCGGGACCCAGCCCAGGCCCCGGTACCTTTGTGATGCCCAGGACACCAATGTTGGGGCTGGAGGAGGTGGAGCCGTTGCCGGTGCCCAGCAGCCCCGCGATGATGCAGGAGACGCCTTCAGTGAAAATGCCCCTGGGAACAGCACGGACGGGCTGGTCCCCACCGCTGCTGCCCCGCAGCATCCCTGCCCGGTCCCACAGGGATCTGTGGCATGAGCAGGGCACCAGGGTGGGGGGCAGCTGCTGTACCTGTTGATGGCGTGCACGGGGGGCGGGGGGGCTCCTGCCAGCCGGGCACAGGAGTAGTAGTCCCCAATGGACTCGATGATGCCCGCCAGTGTGGCACTGAACATGCCCAGCACGGCCGCCGAGGTCACCGTGGGCAGACCCCACTGGCCTGCCGGGAGCAGAGCACAATGCCAGGGTCCCAACACAGGGACCTGGCACCAACAGTGCTCCCCAGCCCAACTGATGCTGCATCCCTCAGGGTGAAGGGGCGTTGAAGGGACCCGTGCCTCTGCCTGGCACTCACAGGGGTAGGGCACCCGAAACCAGGGTGCCACGGACAGGATCTCCCCCCTTGCATCCGTCCTGGCCTTGTATCCGTACGCCTCGGGCTCGCTGGGGAAGACGCCGGTGCGCGTCAGCACATAGCAGAGCAGCCACACCACCATGATGGCCATGATGATCTGCAGGGGCACGGACCGGGCACACCCCCTGCATCGCCCGTGTGTAGAAACAGGGGGGGTTTGGGGATGCTCCAGGACCTGGTGGCTCCCGGCCAGTCCCTACCGGGAACATCTTGAAGATCTGGATGCGGAGCAGCACGAAGCCCCGGCCGCGCCGGTAGCCGGGCAGGCAGATGGTGACGTGCCGCAGGTACTGCGCGAACAGGACGATCAGGAAGATGGTCCTGGGGGGAAGAGAGACGCGGGAGGCCCCTCGTACCCCAGCATCCTCCTGGCTCCATTAGGGACACCCCGACCCCTTTGTCCCCCCATCCCCGTGCCGTACAGCGCGGCGATGCCCCAGTGGGAGCCGGCCCGCTCGCCGGCCGCCTGGAACACGGAGAGCCCGATGAGGGACACGGTGGGAGTGACGGTCAGCGGCCCGATGTAGCTGAGCAGCGCCCCGGGCAGCCCCAGCAGCCCGATGGCCACCTCCACCAGGCTGGACACGACGATGGCTCCCTGGATCTGCAGGGAGGGCAGGGGTCAGTGCGCTGCGGGGCGCTGCGGGGTCCCGGGGCAGGGTGGGCCGTACCTCTCGCATGCGGGGCTGCCAGATGTGGGACGTGTTGAGCGGCAGCACCCAGTTGCCGTAGATCTGCTCTGGGGATGGAGGGGGATGAGGTGGTGCCTGGATGGGGGGGGGGGGAGTGGCTGGATCCCCCCTGCTCCCCTCTGCCCTCACCTTCAGGGGGGCAGCGCCACTTCTCCAGGGCCAGGATGGACTTGGCTGGGACGAGGAAGGCCAGAGCGCTCGCCTGGAAGAGGGGCAGCCTGGGAGGGACAGGGGATGCTGTGCCCATGGCCTGCGGGGCAGCAGTGGGTCCCTGCCGGTGCCGCGGCTCTACCTGATGCCCACGGTGGTCTGGATGAGGGTGGTGATGCCAACGCAGGTGAAGATGGTGCCGATGAGGTAGCTGACGGTGAGCTGGTCCTTGCCCACGCACAGGCTCTCAGCCAGCAGGAAGGGGACTGCAATGGTGCCGCTGAAGCAGGTCAGGTAGTGCTGGGGGGGAACGGGGGGCTCAGCGGGGCTGGGGTGGGAGCAGGGGCCCATGGGGGCTGCCCCCTTGCAGGCTGTACCTGGAAGCCGAGCAGGATGCAGAGGTACCAGGGGGGCACATCCTCGATCTTGTAGAGCATGTCCACCTCCGGCCGGGGGGCCCTGGCACCCTCCTTGGGCTCCTGGCGTGTGGGGACTCGGCTCAGCCCCAGCTCGCCACAGGGACCCCGCAGTGTCCCCAGGGGTGGCACAGGGACCCCTTGCGCCCTCAGGGATGCGGGGGTCCCGCTCCTGGTGTCCACGCGATGGTGCAGTGCAGGAGGGTTCGGGGGTGCCCCGGTACTCACCCTGCCTGCTGCAGGCGGCTCCTTCCCAGGGGGACAAGGGGGGTCGGTGCGGGTGGGAGCCAGGCTCCCATTCTGGCAGTGAGGGCGAGGAGGAGCCGGGTCAGTGCTGTCCCGGGTGTCCCATGGGAGCGGGGCTCTGCCCTGGGGACTCAAGGGCCACGGCTCCGCACGTGCGGCGGCTCCGATCCCAGAGAGGGGCCTGGGCTCCAACCCCACCGGTCCCTGCGGGATGGTTTGTGCCCAGGGGAGGTTGGAGCGGGGGGGATCCCCCCTGCCCCTGGGTGCCTGGGCCACGCTGCCAGCACAGCCAGTCCCGGCCGCAGCATCCCCGCATGTCCCCTTGGTCCCGGGCTCCACCGCAGCCCCCAGGCTCACCCCATCCTTTGCCTTTTGCTGGGCATCACAGCCCTGAGCTGGCCACCGCTGGGGGCTCCAGTCCCTCCCGTCACCCACCTCCCTCCCTGCTGCCTGGGATACGGCTGAGGAGGGGACAGGGATGGGGATGGGATGGGGATGGTGTCAGAGGCTGCGTTCACCTGGGGCTGAGCCAGGTCTCCCGAGCGCGTCCCCATCCTCCGGTGATGCGGCCCCGGCGGCGATGTCACCGCACGGGGGTTTTATGGCCATGGGGAAGGACTTTAGTCACCACCCGGGCCGTGGCACGGGGTGGCAGGCAGCGAGGCCACCATTGGCTGCGGGTTGTGAAACCGGGGAGTGCTGCCTCGGGGACGGATCAGCCATTAACTGCTTTAATTGGGGCTGGCACCGCGGGCGCGCAGCACCGCGCTGGTCAAACATTAGAGCCCGGAGCAGCCCCGCTGGGGGGGCCGGGACACTGGGTGTCGGCGGCATCACGGAGGGACGCGGTGACAGCGGCGATGGGGAGCTCCCGCCTCCCGGCGCGGCGGCTCCCGCTGGGGACGAAGTCGGTTCCGAAGGTCGCCGGGGCATTAAGCATTAACCGCAGCGGGGCTACAGCTCGTTCTGCAGCGCCTTGGGGGGGGCCGCCCCCCCGGCCTTGCCGCCGGTGCAGGGCCCCTTGTCCCCGTGGCACAGCAGCTCCCGCAGCGCGGCCGGGCCCCGCCGGTGCGCCCCATAGAGCCGCGCCTCGCCCCGCTCCCCCACGGCGCCGTGGCACGTCTTGGACAGCCTGCGGGGAGCCACGTGTGGGGCACAGCGCGCCCCTGCCATGGTGAGGAGGGGACAGTGCCCGGCACCCCCCCACTGCCAACACACAGCCCCCTTCCCCCCTTACCTGCCCGGCCAGGGGCCCCCCGTCACCATCACACTCATGGGCTCCTGCACTGGCAGCCCCGGCCCCGCCAGACGCTTCTCCCCATCCAGCTCCTGCCCCCCATAGCTGCGGGGAGAGGCAGGGGGTGGTGAGACCCCATCTCTGGGACACCCCATCCCCAGGGACACCCCATAGGGACACCCCGCTCACCTCTCCCAGCCCTGCGAGCAGCTCCTCTCCAGCACCTCCATGTAGTCGGACTCGCTCAGCACCTTCTTGCCCACTTTCCCCTCTGCCCTGCTGAGCTGCTCCTCAATCTGGGGTGAAAAAGGGCAGAAATGGGCCAGTAATGGTGGCAGCCTCCATCATGACCCTGCGCCCCAGCGGGCAGGGGTCTGCATCCTCTTCCTTGAGGCCCATCAGTGGAAGCGCTTTTGCATGGGGATGGTGGCTCCATGAGCAAGGGAGCTCGCTGGTCCCAGAGGGCTGCTCCGGGGATCCAGCAGCACCTCCCCAGCCAGAGCATCCCCGCGGGGCTCTCGCTCCCGGTGCTGGGCCCCCTCTCCCCGGTCCCCACCTGGAAGGCGATGGCGTGGCAGGCGTCGCAGAGCAGGGACTCGGGCATGTGGGGCGAGAGCCGCTCCTCGGCGCTGAGCCGCGGTGCGGGGATGGAGCGGGCCGGGGCGGCGGGGGGGTCCCCGCACATCCCCTCCCCTCCCGTCGCTGTCAGCAGGCTCAGGAGCAGCCGCAGCAGCGCCGGCTGCATCCTGCCGCGGTGCGATGGTGCCGGGGGGCAGCGGGGGGCCGATATAACCCCCGGGCACTGATGCACGCCTGAGGCACCTGCATCCGGCTGACGTGGCCGTCCCCGGGGTGTTGGGGTGGGGTGCATGGGGTGTCCCTGGCCCCTCTCGGGGAGGGGTTTGGTGTGAATCAGTCCAGGCCTGAGCCTGGACACAAACCCTCCCTGGGATGGCTTGATCCTACCTGGGATGGGGATGGGATGGCGACTTGGGGCTCAGGGATGGGGCTTGGGGGTCAAGGCTGGGTTTGCCGGTCAGAGATGGGGTCTGGGGTCAGGGCTGGGGGTTCAGGAGTGAGGCTTGAGGATCAGGGTTTGGTGTTCAAGGCTGGGTCTCAGGGATGAGATGTGAGGTTCAGGACTAAGCTTTGGTGCTCAGTTTGGGGTTCAAGGACTGGGGACTCAGATCAGAGGTCTGAGGCTCAGCATTGGGGTTTGGGGTTCAAGGGCTGGGTTCAGGGCTTACTGATGATCACAGAACCCCCGCCTGCTCCCCTTGGACACTCTGGGACAGATGGACATGGATGGACTGCAGTGCCCAAGTCCTTCAGCCCCCCAAAGTGCCAGCGGGAGCCCCTGACCCCCTTTACAGACCACACAAAGACAGGGTGAAGATGGAACATTTAATGGTGTCTCAGCATCTTCACTGCTGTGCCGGGGTGTCCGTGCTGCAGCCGTGGCCATTCAAACAGCCCAGGTCTTCCTTGGGACAGGACCAGCAACACTGGGAAAGCGGGGGCCGTGCATCTGGTCCCTTTGCTCCCCCCCCCCCCCCGGGGCTGCCACATGCTCGCATTGGGAAATGCTTTTCCTCCCCATTCCCATGCAGTCCATTGAGGTCCAGCCAGTGCAAACTCCTGCTCAGCTCCTCAGCAGCTCAGTCGTGGACAGCGGGGCTCTCCCACGCTGGGGGTGATGCTTACGTTGGGGTTAAAGCCCGGCCATTCACATCCATCGAGGACCATCACATCCGGAGCAGTTGTCCCTGCTCGGGCCTTGCAGGGCTGGTGCGGGCAGGGGGCTGGCCAGGGCCAGGGCTGGCCCGCATCCCTGTGGGGATATAGTACAGGCTCTCCAGGTACCCGCAGTCGGGACCCCCCACAGCGGGCGGCCCCTCGCCCTTGGGAGCAGAGCTGAAGGTCCCAGAGAAGCTGGGGTTGTCAGCAGCCGGTGGCTCAGGGTGCACTGGAGACGGGGCAGAGGGTGCCGGGGGTACCGGGAGCCCCTGGAAGCCACTGTAGGGCACATAAGGTGGGCCATAGACCCCCGGTGGCATGACCAGGGGGTTGTAAGGAGCTTGGTAGAGCCCGGCGTGCGATGCCACTGGTGGGACGAGCACCTCCAGGTACTGCCCGGTCTCGGGGTCGTACAGTGTTTTCAGCTGGGGCTGCCGTGGGGGCTCCATGTAGTAGCATTTCCCACTGTCGGGATCCACGAGCATCCTCCGGTGTGTGGGCAGGTGGGGAGCAAAGGGCTTGGTGGAGCTTGGTGTGTTCTTACTGCTCGGAGAGGCACCATCAGTCCTCCTTAGGAAGTGGGGAGCATCCTCGAGGCGAGGCTGAGGCTGGGCTGAGGGCACCGGGTGCTCTGCAGCCCCAAGGCTTTCGGGGGGCCGGGGCAGGTGGGGCTCGGCGCTGGGTTTGCTCCAGGGCACTTCCCCACCGGGCAGGGGCGACACACCGGCCCCCAGTGGAGCACTGGCCGGGCTGGGGACCAGCGGGGATCCAAAGAATGAGCTGGCTATGCTGGAGACTGGTGGGTGTCCAAAGGAAGTGGGGACTGGGCTGGTGCCCAAGGGGGACCCAAAGGATGTGCTGGATTGATTGGAGACCAAGGGGCTCTCAAAAGAAGCACTGGCTGAGTTAGGGACCAGGGGGGTCCCAAAGGATGTGCTGGATCGGCTGGGGACCAATGGGGTGCCAAAGAATGCATTAGCTGAGTTAGGGACCAAGGAGGTCCCAAAAGATGCACTGGCTGAGTTAGGGACCAAGGGGGTCCCGAAGGATACACTTGATGGATTAGGGACCAAAGAGGTCCCAAATGATGCACTGCACAGGCTGGGGATTAAAGGGGTCCCAAAGGATGCACTGGCTGGGTAGGGGATCAAGGGGGTCCCAAAAGACTTGTTGGTAGGGTTGGAGACCAAGGAAGTCCCATACGATACGCTGGCCAGCCTGGAGGCTGATGGGCAGCCAAAGGGTGAGTTGGTCATGCTGGGGACTGTGGCAGTCCCAAAAGACGCGCTGGCTGGCTTGGGGACAAAGGGGGTCCCAAAGGGTGCACTGGCAAGGTTGGGGACCAAGGGGGCCCCAAAGGGTGCACTGGCTGGGTTGGGGACTGCAGGGGTCACAAGGGGTGCACTGCTTGGGTTGGGGACTGCAGGGGTCCCAAAGGGTGCAGTGATTGGGTTGGGGACTGCAGGGGTCCCAAAGGGTGCAGTGATTGGGTTGGAGGCTGCAGGGGTCCCAAAGGGTGCAGTGATTGGGTTGGGGACTGCAGGGGTCCCAAAGGGTGCAGTGATTGGGTTGGAGGCTGCAGGGGTCCCAAAGGGTGCAGTGATTGGGTTGGGGACTGCAGGGGTCCCAATGGGTGCAGTGATTGGGTTGGGGGCTGCAGGGGTCCCAAAGGGTGCAGTGATTGGGTTGGAGGCTGCAGGGGTCCCAAAGGGTGCAGTGATTGGGTTGGGGACTGCAGGGGTCCCAATGGGTGCAGTGATTGGGTTGGGGACTGCAGGGGTCCCAATGGGTGCAGTGATTGGGTTGGGGGCTGCAGGGGTCCCAAAGGGTGCAGTGGCCGGGCTGGGGAGTGCAGGGGTCCCAAAGGACCCGCTGGCCGCGCTGGGGACCGAGGGCAGCGTTGGCACCGGAGCGGGTTTGGGGGCTTTCTCCGGAATTGCCAAGTAGCTGGAGTTCTCCGCCGGGGCAGCGGGAGGGGCCGGCTCGGTGGCTGCCGGCCACGTCGGTGAACGCTCCCAGGGCTCCCTCCGCTCCGGCAGCCGGGTAGAGGCAGCCTCACCGCCCTCCCCACCTCGGAACGGGGCGACGGGGCCGGAGCCACCCTCGGAGCCGCCGCTCCCCACCGACACCAGCCGGGCCGGGGCCCGGGGCTGCCCCTGCTCTCTTGCAGGCGGCTCTGGCGCGCTTCTTGCTGCCGGCTTCCCCGGCTGCGGGGCCGCGGTGCTGCCAGCCACCGACCCGGGATGGGGGTCACCGCTGGCGGGGAGCCCTCCGGGGCCACCGTGGCCGTGTCCTTCCGTGGGGCTCGGTGGCGGCGGCGGGAGCAGGACGGTTTTCTCTGTCCGCAGCACCGCGCTGCTCTGAGCCGGGAACCCTTCCCCGGACCGCGGGCCCAGCAGCACGTGGAGGTGGGTCTCCATGTGGGGCACCCCCTCGGCCGTCGCTGCCCGCGGCGGGACCCGGATCTCGCTGCGCTCCCGGCGCGGGGGGGACGCCGGTGGCCCCTCCGCCGCAGCCGAGCCCCGTCGTGTGGCCTGGACCCTGGTGATGTGCACGGGGGAGCGGCGCGGGGGTGAGGAGCGGCTGCCCCGGGCACACAGCGGGGCCGGCTCTGCCGGCACCTCCTCGTGTCCCGGCTGCGGCGCTGGCTCCCGGCGGCGCACCGAGCTGCAGTGGATCACCAGCGGGGCGGCCGGGGCCGGCTCCGCGCTGCTCGGCGGGGCCGTGGTGCCGCGGGATGCGCCGGCGGTCCCGAAGCAGAGGTTGTAGCTGCTCTTCACCAGCTTGCGCACGTCGCGGGGTTGCGGGATGCGCCCCTTCCCCTTCTCCTCCGGCTTGGGGGGGACGGGCGGCGGGGACCGCCGTGCCGGGGGACTGGGGGGCTGGCGCGGCGCCGCCGGGGGCTTCTCCTCGTGTCGGTTCTGCGGCACCAGCCTCACGTCCTGTGCCCGGGAGGTGAAGGTGCGGCGCGGCGGCACAGCAGGGAAGGTGTCGGGCTCGGCGGGCAGGGTCTGGGGGTGGCCGGGGCAGATGGCTCGCTGCCTCAAGCTGGGCCAGGGCTTCGGAGCTCTCCCAAACCTCGGGGCGACATCCAGCACCTTCCCCACTCCAGGCTGCGCTTCGAACAAGGCACGTGCTTGCCGGTAGCGGATCCTCTCCGGCGGCGGCTCCTCGGTGGCGCCGGGCAGCCAGCGGCCCTCCATCACCTCCTGGTACTTGAGCCTCTCGTTGAGCTCATTGAAGGTCTTCTTCAGCTTGCAGACGTTCTCCCTGGTCGCCTTGCTCAGCACCACCCCCTTGGTGGGGTGGGTGGTGGCGGCGGTCCCCATGGCCACCGGCGCCACCGGCATCCCGCCACCCCGCAAGTCCTCCGCTGAGAAGCTGCAGTCGGAGCGGGATAAGGAGCTGGACTTGCCTTCCAGACCATCACCCAGCAGGTCGGTGCCGGCGGAGGATGGCCCCGAAGAGGTCGAGCTGCCCCGCAGCCCCTTCTGCTCCATCTTGATCCTCTGCTCGTACTGCATTTTCTTGGCGAGGACGTTCTTCACCAGGCAAGAGGCCGCCCTGGTCTTGCTGGTGTCGGCATCCAGGGAAGCTGTCTTCATGAACTGCTTGTAGTTGAGCCTAAAGTCCTCACCGATGGCTCTGCCCTTGCTGGGGGGCTCCTTCCTGGCAGGGGGCACGGGCTGCGGGGCCGGGGCATCCCCCCGGGGGACAAAACCTGTTTCCTTCCTCTCCTTCCTCTTCAGCAGGATCTGCCGCTTCGGGACAGTCCTCTTCTTGCCATGGCCCTTCCTGGCCTCACCGCTCTCCAGCTCCACATCCACGCACTCAAACTGTTCCTTTCCCAGCAAGCCCAGCAGCTCCCCGTCCATGCCGGCGGGGAAGGGCCAGCACACCCTGCCGTGGAGAGGTGCCGCGGTGCCCCGGGGCTCGCCGCCAGCCATCGGCCACCTCCGCGGCCGCCCGCCGTCCTCCGACAGTGAGTTGGAGAGGCTGGAGGAGGTGTGGGAGCTGCACATGTCGAGCCGGGAGCCGGGGGGACCAGAGATGCTCCGGAAAGCCCTGGCCGTGAGTGCCCGCACCTCGCCGTCCACCTCATCCGAATCGCTGGGCCCCTCGCCGAGCATCCCCCTGGGCAGAGCCAGCTCCCCGCTGCCGGTGGTGGTGGTGGTGGTGACAGCCTGCCGGTCCCCACCGAGGGGACCCATCCTGCCGCCCTGCCCCGGCGCTGGGCTATTCTTAGCCGCGATGGACAGCTGAGCCTGCCGCGGGCGTGCGAGGGGGCCGGGCGGCGGGGGGACGCTGGGGGCAGCCCTGGGGGGGGTCCCCCCCTCCTCGTCCAGGAACTCCAGGCAGTCCTTGAAGGTCTCCGTCCCGTCGGAGCACAGGGCAGAGTGGTAGGACGACACGGAGGAGCCCGACATGCTCTTGGCGAGGTCGTCGCGGGGGAGGCCGGGGAGGGGGCCCTCCTCCTCCTCCTCCGACACGGAGCGCCGGCCGTCCCCGCTGCTGCGGCCGCCCTCGCCATCGGTGCCGGGCAGCTCGGCGTGGGACAGCAGCCCCGGGTCCCTCTTCCCGCGGGGCATCATGGCAGGGGTGACCCCGAGGGGCGCCAGCGGGTGCCGGGGGAGGCCCTCCCGGGTGCTGGGGACGCTCTGCCGGGGACGCCGGCTCGACCTTCTGGCTGCCTCGCCCTCACGGCGGCTGGACCCGGCGCAGCGCTGAGCAGCCCCTTGATCACATGGACATCTGCGAGCGCCAGCCCGGGCCGGCGATGCCAAGCGCATTGCCGGGATGCCACCGCCACCCCCGGCCTTAGGGGGCTGCCGGGGGGCTGCCAGCACCATCCCCTGCCCCACACCCGCGCCGCTGATCCCCAAACCCACAGGTGAGGTGTCAGCACCCCGCACCCCATAGGGGTACCCGCATGGGTGCCCCCCAATGCAGCACTAGCTGGGGGACCCGCAGACTACTGCAGGCTTGTCCCATCCCCTGCAGGGCACAACCGCAGCCCCAGGCTGCTGCTACATCCCCATCACGGCTCTTTTCCCAGTGCCTCTGCCTGCCCCACTGCAGTGGTCTCATCCTGGGGGCTTCCCGCAAACCCCACCCTGCCCCAAGCAGCAGCTCCCCCATAATTAGTCACAAGCAGCCAGGAGCCAACTCAAGGCTTCATGTCAAAGCAGGCACTGAGCACCTCTGGGACTCACTGGAGCCGAACGATGCACAGGTAGGACTGGCCTGTTTGGGGACACTCAGAGCAGGCTGCTGGCTGCCTGGCATGGCACGAGGGTCCCTGCAGCGTGCCGGCCCCGCTGCTGTCGCCGCTGGAGCCCAGTCCTAGCTTTGGAGGGGGATTTTCACTGCACAGCAGCAGCAGCAGGTGCTTGCCGGCACTGCCAGACCCAGAGCAACCCGATGCCCAAGTCCTCTGGGTTCATGCAGGGACTAAATTTAAACTTTGGCACGGAGGAAGGCTCCCATGGTAGCCGGTGTGGTGCTTAACCCTTTGCTGCCCAGCAGGGCTGTGCTTGCAGGAGGCATTTGTGCCCATGGGGAGGGGAGGAGACCTGCCTATGGGCAGCACTTACCATCACAGTATCCTTGAGCGGGTGGCCTCAGTCCCTACAGCCTGGCTCTGCAGGAACCCAGTGGGATGTGGCTGCCAGCACAGGAGCCCCCTGCATGGCTCAGTGCACCCCAAAACCTTGGGCTGCTGCTTGGGTGCTCCATCCCCCTCTGGATGTGAGGGGTCCTTGGAGCATCCCAGAGTCCAGCTCCTGCTCCAGCACAGCTCATGGCAGCCTGGCAGGCACCTGCTGAGTCACTGCTGGCTCCAGCCCTGTGAGGCACAGGCGGGAGCACTGTGGGGATGAGCACACATCCACCTGCTGCTGGATTTGGATGTACAAGCAGAGGGGATGAAAGTCCCCTCGGGCTGAGCCGATCCCTTGGTCCACATCCCAGAGATGCTGTTTCATTCCCTCTCCTCTGCCAAGGGTCATGCCCAGCTTCCCAGTGCCACTGGTACTCGGTGGGAGGGGGAGGTCGGTCCAGTTGGTACATCTGGGGTGCCACTGCTGGGGCAAGGAGGGAGGGCAGAGCAGAGACAAGGGGAACACGAGCTGTGGGAGCTGTAACCTAAAACCATCAACCTAGTGGGAGGATCCCTGCCGCAATCCCTAGGAACGTGGGGAAAGGGCCTCATGCCTCTGCCTACATCTCCTGCTGCCCTGTGTGAGGCAGATTTAGGGCAACAACTCATGTAAAGAAGCAGCTTTAAACCTCCCTCTGCCTCTTTTCCAGCACAATTCCTGTTGCTGCTGCATCCTCCACTCCAGCTCTTGCCAAACCCGAAACGGTGTCAACAGCTGTGACAAACCGGAGGCTGCGAGGGTGGATGGAAACTACCACCGGAGGCTCGGCCCCTCATCCGCTTCCCCGGCACTCGCTCCCAGTGCTGCCGGTGACGGGATGACCCTGGACACCCCCTGCTCCATAGGGAAAAGCACGGCCGGCTGCAGCACGGGCTGCTGGCCTGGCAGGTTTCTTCCAACATCCCCGAGGCTGCCGGAACAACCTGTCTGGGTGTGTTGGAGCAGGGAGGGAACCGGCTGGGCAGCCCCGGCTGGGCAGCACACCAAGAGGCTGCACCTCCTGCTCCTGCGTCCATCCCCCCAGTGCGGTGTGGGGTGGGAATTCTAAGCAGGAAAGAGGGAGGAGGGCACGGTGGGGATCCCAGCCGTTCTCCCACCAACCAGAATACACCCATTGAGAGCAGCGCGGGGTGGGGGTGTGGGAGCAGAACGAGGCACAAACACGTTACAGAACAACGGGTGGACCGGGTTGAGCCGGACGTGTTCATTAAACACTGATTTACGTTTAAGCCACCGTGATGCTGCCTATGGACTTGCTACTGCCTTTACTTATTAAGTCGGTTTCTGTGCCAGATCTGTGCATGCCCGCCTCCCGCGGCTGGGAAGCTTGCGGGAGGCAGCAAGGATGAAGGCAGGCCGTGCCTCTCCCATGCTGGACCCGCGTTACGCAGCCTCAGAGGAGCGGGAAACACCGGCCCTGCCTGGCAAAGGCTGCCGGCGGGTTTCGGAAGGGGTCTGGCGGTCCAGGCCACGCCGGCAGCTCCGTGCGTCAAGCCCTTCGGCACCCAGGGGTGGAACGTGTTCGCTCGGGGCAGGCACCAACAGCTCGGGTTTATCAGTGACCGAGCCCTGGGCTCTCTGCGGTACGCACCGTGGTGCAGGCACGGCGCAGGGGCGATGCCGGGAGCGAAGCGCCCGCCCCACAGCGGGGCCCGGAGCGCGGCAGCCCCGCCGTGCCCATGGGCAGCCCCGGCCCGGGCCCGCTCCCCGCAGCGCGGACACGAGCGCACCCCGCGGACCGGGACAGGGGGCGTGCCCCGCGCTGGTCCCGCCCCACAGCACTGCTCACAGCCCGCGCCCGCATCCAGCCCCCCCCATCTCCCTCCCGGCCCCTCTGAGGACGGGAGATGCCCGCCGCGGTCACAGCCCCAGCCCCAGCCCCAGCCCCGGCCCCGCTCCCGGCTCCGGCTCCCCACGGCCTCACCGCCCGTCGCCATCTCCGGCACTGCCGACACAAATGGCGGCTCCCGCCGCCGAGACTTTCCCGTCTCCTGGCAACGCAGAGGCTCTCGGCCGCGTTCCCCCGCTCCCGTCTTAAAGGGCCCGCGCCACGGCTTCCCCCTGAGAGCGGCCCCGTCCCAGCCCCGGGCTCAGCTTCCACCGAGCCGTGGGGACCCGCGGCTCTCCCGCTGGCTCCCTGCCGCTCCCGCCATGGTCCTGTGCCTCCATTTTGCATGGCACAGGCAGCCAAAGGCTACTATTGTGCGAGCAGAGGTATACATTGTGGGAGGCAGGGTTATCCATTGTGGGAGGCAGAGGTATACACTGTGTGAGGTGGGGGTTCACCATTGTGTGAGGTGGGGGTTCATTGTGTGAGGTGGGGGTTCACCACTGTGTGAGGTGGGGGTTCATTGTGTGAGGTAGGGGTTCATTGTGTGAGGTAGGGGTTCACCATTGTGTGAGGTAGGGGTTCATTGTGTGAGGTAGGGGTTCACCATTGTGTGAGGTAGGGGTTCATTGTGTGAGGTGGGGGTTCACCATTGTGTGAGGTGGGGATTCACCTTGCAGGCAGTCAGGGCAGGTTCATGGCTCTCCTTTAATCATTACATATATACCCAAACCCATCCGCAAGCTCTTGGTATCCCCAAGAAGAGGGAGTATCCCCCCCATGCTCCAGCACCCACAGTCCAGCACTGACACAGACATGGCCATGACCACAGACACGGATATGGACACGGTGTGTCCCGCAGTGCTGGGGCTGGATCCAGGCATACAGGCGTGTCCTGGAGGAGCAATCTTTGTCCCTTTAGAGACCTCAGAAGTAATTAGCAGGCCATGGCCACTGGGCAGGTAACCTTTGGTAAACCACAAAAGCACGGAACAGCCTTGGACACCTTGTAACAACGTCCCTTTTTCCCCTTAGGATCACAGAATCCCAGCCTGGGTTGGGTTGGAAGGGGCCTTAAAGCTCATCCAGTTCCAACCCCTGCCCATGCGTGGATGAGCTTTAAGGCCCCTTCCAACCCAACCCATTCTGATTTCAAGTTCTACTGCATGTATCACTAAAGCCATTTCAGAGCCCAGTGCCCTCACTCACAGTGCACACCACCATCATGCAAAACCGTTAACACCCTGGCTGTGATCGCGCGGAGCACCCGACTGCTTTTTATATGAGACCTTCCAGTGTCATGTATTTCAAAAAGCAATCTGTATCTCATGATATCTCCCCTCCAGCCTGGCCTCTTCCCTACTTGCAGAGAAGATGCCTAAAATTGTGCTTCTCCCACCTCCTTCGATACCTTTAGATGAAAGGTGCAGTCGATTTTATGTGCGAAGTACTATGGATGAATTGCTCTCCCCACCTGTATCCCTTTATAGCTGTGGGAGCCAAACAGGGAAGATACCAAACCTGGAACAAAGCCCAGTGCATTTCAAATACATTCTACAAACTATGTACTGTATAAAAAGCAACATTGTCTTTTTGGACACACTCATGTTATGTGCTCCTGTCCTGGGTTCAGCAGTAGCAGTCATTTTTCTCCTTGGTAGCTGGTGCAGTGCTGTGTTTTGACTTTTGGCCTGGTAACAGTGCTGATAACAATGGTGTTTTGGTTTGGCCAAGGACTTTGTAAGCCTCATGGTCTGCCAGGGAGGAGGGGAAGAGAAGAAGCAGAGACAGGACACCTGAACTAAATTGACTAAAGGGGTATTCCATACCACAGCACGTCATGCCCAGGATGTAACTGGGAGTTACCCAGAAGGGCTGGGGACTGTGGGGTTGGAGGAGGTATTGGTTGGTGCTTGGTTGGGCTGAGGGGATGAGTTATCGGTTGGCTGGTGGTGAGGTGCTGTATTCTCTTCCCTTGTTATTTCCCTTATCATTGTTATTACTGATGGTAGCAGTAGTGATCTGTGTTATACCTTAGTTACTAAACTGCTCTTATCTCAACCCGTGGGAGTTGCATTCTTTCTATTCTCCTCTCCTTCCCTCCAGGAGTAGGGGGAGGGCAAGAAGGGGGGAAGTGAGTGAACGAGCTGCCTGACTGGGTTTAAACCACCACAGCTCCACACTGGGAAACACTAGAACCGAGGCTGCCCGTCCTGCTGCCAGCCACATTCCTAATCTAGAGTAATCAAGGATTTTTGCCTGTAAAGACTCTCACACCAAACCTGTTTCACAACCCCCTCCAAATGCTGTTTTACCAGCCTCTCCCTGTCCCAAGTGGCTGACAAACTCTGCTCAACTTCCCCAAGTATTCCAACAGGAAGCAAATGTTAACACAAAAACGCTGTCGTAAGGAGTCACTTTAGGCACAGGGGCAACAAGAGAGATGTGCTCAGTCCTAACAGACGTATACTTGCACATCAGGGAGGTGAGCACCACCTCTGCTGTCCTGCTCGTAGACATCCTTTGTGAGAACAGCTCAGTCCATGGGTGGCATGCACTCATGGCAACCCACCAGAGAAACTGGCTCAGGTGATGCTCAACTGGAGTAACACTGTCCTCTGTTCTTACAGGTACAACCCACCCTCAGCCCGCCTTCAAATGCCTGGTTTTGTAACAAAGGATCAAGAAAAAACAGGACACTGCTACATGGATCTTTTTTTCTTTGCAATACTAATATCTACAGTGAAACATTCATAACTGCTCAACAGAGTAAAAATATGCTACATCAAACCTGTACCAGAAAAAGCAGGACCCCTGTAACAGCTGGAGAAGAGTTTGCAGGTCAAAATGAGAATTAAACAGCCAGCCTGAAAATATGCCACTGGAAACATCTGAGAAAATAAATAGGGCTGTCCTTTCTCTGCAGCTCGACAGCTGCTGGAATTGGTGCAATTCATCTTCTGGTTTGATGTTGCTGTTGGGATCTTGGTGCCGTCTCACCACGTAGCAGCACAGGCACAGCCCTCCAGCCCAACAAGCCTGGTGTGAAGTCCCTCCAGGAGCAGGGAGTGTGCTCGGGTGCTCACCTGAAGCAGGTTCCCGTCTTTTGTGAAGGAAGCACTGCACATCACACTGAACAGGAAACCCAACAGGGAACACGCCATCTTCCATCTACATTCTCATGAGAGCCCACTGCAGCAGCAGGGCCATGCGCTTGGTCTGTGAGAGCACGCTGTTCCTGTGATCAGTGAGCTGCAGGTCCATGTCAAACACAGAAAGCAAAGACATTTGTCTGCCCTCCTGGGAAGCACACACTGTCTGGATGGCAGACAAACTACTGACGAGGAAGGGCTCCAAACTAATAATAGCGTTTCCCAGGGGATTCATTTACAAAGTGCCACTGGTCCTTGGAACCAATATAGTGTACAGTATATATTACAGCAAACACCAGCTCCTCAGCTTGTGTTGGCCCCTCTCTGCACTCTATGCAGAAGGACTCAAATATCCACACTTTTTACAATAGACTCCTTCCCTTTTTATACAAAGGAAAATAAAACCATAAGTTAAAACAGCAATAAATTAAAACTACAGAACGTGTGCGTCCTGGTCAGCCCCCTTTGTGCATTCCAATCAGACTGGAGAGCTTCTCACAGTGCTCAAGTTTCAGGGATTCTGCTTTCTGCTTTAACCGCTCATCTCTGTACAGCTTGGCCAAATTTGACAAATCAGACTCTGAAAGATGAAAAAGAAGATACATATCAGGATGAGCCTGCTTTCAGAAACTGCTTCTCTGTGCTTTGTTATCCTTGTGGCTCGTGGGGGGTCTTTTTAATTCACTTTGTTTCAGTGAGACTGGGAATGTTAACATGCTCTAAAGAGACACCATTGAGTTTAACCAAGCTACTTAATGAAGACAAGAGTATTTTCCTAAGTGTTTGCAAACCCAATCTCTCTAACCAGTGCACTAGCAGGACAATAACCAAACAAACCCCAAGACTGATTGTTAATCTATGAAGAAAACACACACTATAAAAGTATAGCTTGGAAGTCAGTTAAGATTTTAAATCATGTTAATGATCTAAAGCATAGGTGATTGCTTTAAGATATCTGTATATTGTTAAACTAATGGCATAAAAGGGGCTACACAGCACCTGTCTTACGCAATACTGTCACTTACTTTGGAATCAGCTCTCATCTCATCCCACACTAATTCTTAGGGATGCAGAGGAGGGTCATTCCCCAGGAATGACCAGGAAAGGCCAGTGTGCCCTTTCATTAACAACACATTCTCAAAGGTACTTTGCACATTTCTTTTCCTTCTTCTCAAAAGTAACATGAAGCTGCAATAGTCTCCTTGTTTCAGTTATTTCCCCCCCTCAATAATTCAGAGAATTTCTTTGCTGATTAGCTAAGGAAATCCTAATATAGCTTTCTCCCTGAAGAATCATTCAGATCCAGCATTAGACACACCTACGAGAACTGCAGTAATTTGTTGCTGAAAAGGTCAGAATTTCCCTAAGCACTGGGTACCTGATGACACTCAACTTTTCAGAGCTTTTATACACCTTCAAGTCCCTCATTTAACAAAATTATTCAATAGGTCCTTTCACTCCTTAAGTCCTCTGCCCCTGTCTCACTGAAATTTAAAGCCATTTAAGCCTCCACCTATTTATCGAGAAGCTTTACAAACTGACAGGCACAACCATTTCATTGTAGATCGGGAATCAATTTTCAGGTTATATAACTCAAAATGCCATTCAAGTACTGCTGGGCACATAACCTTGACAAGCCTTCAGCAAAGCCAGACTCGGGTAATTGTCTCCTAATGCAGCGTCCCTGGAGCTCTGCAGTGAACTCCAGGGA